AGCACATTTTTGCTAAGATATGAGACAGAAAACTTCAGTCTCTGTTCCACAGCAATTAAGTCCTCTCTTTTGACTGTCAAGTCAACAAAAACAGGTAAAAAAAAAAAAACCCACAAAACTAAGGCCAGTAGATAGAGAAGAAATAAATTTTGAGTAATAGAGGACATTGTAAAATTTATTGATTGAAAATTTATATAAACTGGATATTTACAGGTATACTTTACTACGCATTTGTGACCTCAAATAGCTTTTACATACATGGTTAAATTCTCTTTTAAAATAAAAACATGAAATACTGTTCATACAGTTTCACCCGAACTGTAAAGACTTAGCTCTTGCTACTTTTATACTATGTTTCTATAGTTGGACTATAACAAACTAAGAGAAGACTCAGATACCATGCTTCAATTTCTATGAAAACAATCTTACTCAGATCCCTAGAAGGGTAAGTAAAATATATAAAAAAATACAACTCCTAATCATCATTTTCCTCATCATCAAATGACAGAAGACTGCTATTTTTTATTTGCTTAGCTGTACTCTGAGGAGTAGTTGCTTCTCTCTTCGTTCTCTTTGCCTCTTTCATCTTCTTACTTGAACTTACATTGAAGTCCAAAAACTTCTCTGATGAACGTTTGGCTGGCTTCCTGAACATAATTTTTCCATCAGCAGGTTCTGGTTCACCATCTATAACAAAGACAGTAAAATCAGAACTCATCTGCACACGTTCACACACACCTACAGACCTTCACTATTATCTTTTCTTTTTCCCCAGAACCAAGATCAGTGAGACTTCTGATAGAATACAACTATCATGAAAATGTATTTTTTTGGCCACAAAGTCTGTATTGATGAACATCCTCCATGCACACACATCTGCTCCATGGCAACCAGCCCTTGAAGACAGTTCTCCTGCAGTTACTATTAGAAATCGGTTCTTACTAACCAGAGCTTTAACTTCGAAGAGACTGTGAGACAAAGAGCTTTTCCCATGCAATCCAGCTGCATCCACTTATCAAAATGGAGAGGACAACTTTATAAGATCCTCTAACTCCACTTCACTATTTGTAAAATCCGTGACAACAAATGCACTTATTTCAGAATAATGGTATCTCTTTAAAGAACAAAATGGCACATATACAAGACAAAGCTTTTCTTTTTCTTCTAATATACCCTGTCCTGCTGAGACAGCTAAAAAGATTACATGGTCATAAACCTGCCTTTTATTATCATATAGGAAGAAAGTTTTCGGGTTTCTCTGTATCTGCAAAATCACCAAACTATTCCAACTGACTAATTCTGCTCCTCTGCATGTACTTGAGCAAATAACAATTTTAGAAACAAGAGGAGTCCCAGGATTATCAGGCAGAGGAGGAAAGCTACTGCACAAGTAAAAGCATCAAGGCAGTATTTATGGAAAAAAAGTGTAACTGTGAAGTCACGAATCAGACAGAAAGGCTTATGCTGCAGTTGTGTGCAATTCGTATAATGTGTATGTGACAGGATGTTAAAGAACCATAGGCTCTGTGCAAGATAATTTTCCTGACATATTTTTGTGAAATTCATTATTCAACAGAAATTTCCTAACAATACATGTTTGAGAAGATTATGTGCTATTTAATTAAAACCAATAAATATCTTTTGTCTTTAGCACAAATTCTATCCTCAATTCATAAGCATTATGGCAGAAGACTAACATTTCAGTGTTACCATGCCCAACACTGGCTGAAACACTCTTCAGTGCATACTCTAAACAATACAACTTTTAAATCTGATGTCTTAAGGGTTGTGTGGTACAAATTAAGACCATCAACCTCATTCAGAACCTTCACTTATAATTCTTAGGTTTCATAGAGCCTTTTTAAGAAGAAACCTAGCTTAAAAAACTAAGCGCCAGTCCTGTCAATGACTTCTACAGAATGCACGCTTCTGCGGTAGTTTATAAGAGAATACTACTATGCAGAAAATAACTAACCAGGTTTGGGGAACATATTTCAGTACTGGTGCATTAGAAAAACATGGCAGTTACAAGGAATACCAGCAATAATAAACAGTACATACGATCAGCATACTTGTCAATGGATCCGTTGTGAATTCTGTGTGGAAAGCCTAGGTGTTTAGATACGGTACGCGGGATACAGGAGTTTAGGAAGTGCCTATTGTAAATTCTGGCAGAGAAATAGAAATATTTCTGAAAACATATCACACCCAACCAATCAAAATGCACTATGTACCATTTTTCTCAGAAGTTGGATTAAAAATTCAAAATTCAAAGTATGTTTTCACGTAACTGCCTGGGGGCTCTGAAATTAAATATAAAATAATTCCCCTTACTAATTGTTGGTTAACTACATTGTTTATTTGGAAACCCAGATCTTCTAACTTAAACAAGATCTAAGGCACATGATAGAAGCTAAATTCTGCAAGAAAAATGTATCTATAAGAAAAAAATCACTTATAAGCAGACCCAACTGCCTATACACTTGAGCCAGCCAGCACAGACTGTATACAGTACTAATACAGCTGTGGAAATGGGACTTCAAAGCA